TGAATGCTGAGACCAGGGGAGGCAGAGACGAGGGGGTACTGCGGCTGCACAGAGAAACGCAGGATCTGGCGTAGGATTTCTGTCCTCCTGCCGACTGCTGAGACAACAAGGGTGTGGAGGCAAGGGGGGGTGCCGCAACCTGCAGGAGAGGTGTGAGGGCCACATGAACACCGGCATTGTGTTGGACCCTTGTTCTAGATGTTTCTAAAGCTATTGTAGCCATCCTTCCCTAAGCAGGAGAGACTCTTTAAATGTAGCTCTTCACTTGGTCTCCAATAAGTCCAGCGTTATTGTTTGCTTCTGTCTGCTTCTAGGGTGTGTCCCTGGCAATGGTGCAAGACGATTCAAAAAGATTGGGTTATGAATATTTATATTCTCCTGCTTAAAACACTATGAGGTTTTTTGCCAGTGGTGCATGCTGGGAGATATAAATATTTGTGTGTGACCTTGTGAAGCCCTACTTCCCCCACAGCTTCTGCTTGTAGGGACGATGTGTGTGGTGAGTGTGCTGGAGGTCTAGTCCTTCCAGCCCTGCTGTCTAGGTAGGACCAGGGGCGGACTGACCATTTGGAAACTCGGGCACTGCCCGAGGGCCCGGGGTCAGTAGGGGGCCCCATGAGATGCCCCTGGTATCTTTTTCATAGGCTTTTTTGAGTTTGGGCAAGGACACAGGGGCCCCATGGTCCCCTATTGCCCGGGGAGCCCCATGAGTTGTCAGTCCGCCCCTGGGTAGGACACTCATGTGTTTGTGAGTCGAGGTCTGAATCTGGGGGCCTAGGCTCCTCACTGTTTTTTGGAGGTGGTTTGGTTTCCCAGAAGGAGTGGAATCAATCTTGGAGTACCAAGGAGGAACTCCGGTTGGAGGTGAAACCTCAACCTGAGAAGCTGGAACTTGGCTTGGACACTCACAGAGAGGCTGGTGTCACCCCCAAGAAGTCTACTGCTGCATCTACCCTACAGTTGAATGCTGGATAATCTAAGGGTGCCTTCTGGCTTAAAGGTCCTTTTACCTGTGAGGGCTGTGAGTATGATTCTTCCTGGAGTCCGTTATGTTCTCTGGGTGTCCTGTGCCCCTAACCATCTTTGCCATGTGTAGCGCTCACCTCCAAAGGGGCAAAATAACCCTGGGGTCTGGTACCTATTCAGAGGCTTCCAGGCCCAGATACCAGTATCAGAGAACACTGACAAATACAGTCTTAGTCTATGGGAGGTATTTTTGAATGTTTATTGCAGTACTTTAACAGTAGAGAGTGATGGTGCAGGATACTCAAAAAACATAAACAGATGCAGGAGGAGAGATCCTCAATAAAGTCCTTTAGTAACAGCTTTAAGTTTTGCTGGAGATAGAGGGGGTAGCCATTCCATCTGAGAATCTGTAAAACAGTCCCATTCCTTTTATCTAGATAAGCTCTAGACCAAGGTCCTACTCACAATGTCAGGAGACCAGCTGTCTCCAACCAGCTTCCCTGCAAAACTCTTCAGTAAAAGGGGGTCTTTCTCTAGTCCAGCTTCATAAGTTGAGTGTCCTCCATCTGATGTCTTTCTGACCTTTAGCCAAGCACGTGATGAGACCTAACAGCAACAGATCTTTGGTAGCACAGGTTGCCTCCCAGGCAAGAGGCAAAAGCCCCAGGAGAAGAGCGTTATGAACTGCCCTTCGTCATCTTCTCCCGTCAGGGCCCCCTCTCCTAGGAATTTGGCTGAGGTCAGATAAATATTCATAGTCCAGAGATTGATCCTCCTACTCTATTTCTAGAAGCTTCTTCCAGAGGCAGGAGCAATCAATCCCCAGGTTTAGGGACAGACCTGACCAGACCTGAAAAATAAATTACTGCTCAACAAGTACAACAGAGCCAAAAACTAAATGTATCCAGCCTAGGGCAGGTTGTTACACATGCATTTGTGGTGGCAAACATACTCTAAATTTGGAATCTAAAGTGACCACCTGTCCACAACCCTGTAAGCAGGTGGAGTTGGGGAGGGTTCTCCTTTTAGGAACACCCCTCTCCTAATGAGGAGGAGTGTGGGAGTCCTCAGTGAGGTGGGTGGTAGGGAGGCTTGGGGTCTTCTGACTTGGCCTGGAACAGAAAGAGGAGAGAGGCTTAGCAGGTCTCATTGCCCCTACCCCACCACGGAGGGTGAAGAAGCTGGAGAAGGAGAGGGGCCATGGAGGCCTAGCTGTTACAAGGGATGTTTTTGAACATTGCTGGGTGCCCCAGTGGACAGAGAGAAAGTAGAGGTAAAAGGGTCTACTGACCCAGGCCCAGGTGCAGGGGCCAGGATAGAGTGAATGCCCTGGTCCCAGGAATATTATGGAGGTGACCACACACAGGGAAGCTAGGCCCCTCCCTACAACCCCACTATAGGTGAAGGATTCTACCCTGAGATGAGGTGTCACCCAACCACAGGGGTTAAGGGGAATGCTTCATAAGCCTCTATTGGCAAACAAACTGTTTCATTTTCCTACGTTTTCCCGCAAAAGGCCAACTGTTCTATATTTGTATTGTGTTCATTTGCAGAGTTTGGGATTTCTCGAGGGTAATAAAGGCACTTATTGTATTGTTTCATTGTTTGTGCTCCATTAACTCACCCGTAAGGACTTTATCTCTTTTGTATATGAAAACAATAAATTCAACCATCACTGTTGATTATCTGAGCAAAGGTCACATTAGAGGCTCGTTCCACCTGGCACCCCCAGCTAGGGTAGCATGGCCTCTGTGTTTATCTGTTTGCCCGCATGGCTCTCAGCCAATACCTGGAGAAGTGTGAAAGGAAGCCATAATGGGTGCAGACACAGCAACGGGTCCGGAGTGTGAGACCCAGCGAGTAGTCACCCCTGGGAGAAAAGGGATAGTTAGCTCAGCCAGATGGGTGGAGTGGTTCAGTCTATGGCCACCATCCCTGCAATGAGGATGCTGGTAAGGGGCCAGGATAGAGTGGAGGCCCTGGTCCCAGGAAGATTATGGAGGTGACCACACGCGGGGAAGCTAGGCCCCTCCCTACAACCCCACTATAGGTGAAGGATTCTACCCTGTGATGAGGTGTCATCCAATCACTAGGTTAAGGGGAATGCTACATAAGCATCTATTGGCAAACAAACTCTTTCATATTTCTAAGTTTTCCTGCAAAAGGCCAACTGTTCTATGTTTGTATTGTGTTCATTTGAAGAGTTTTGGATTTCTCCAGGGTAACAAAGGCACTTATTGTATTGTTTCATTGTTTGTGCTCCATTGATTCACCCGTAAAGGACTTTATCTCTTTTGTATATGAAAACAATAAATTCAACCATCACCGTTGATTATCTGCGCAAAGGTCACATAAGAGGCTCGTTCCACCGACACCCCCACCTAGGGTAGTATGGCCTCTGTGTTTAACTGTTTGCCCACATGGCTCTCAGCCAATACCTGGAGAAGTGTGAAAGGAAGCCATAATGGTTGGAGACACAGCAACAGGTCTGGAGTGTGAGACCCATCAAGTAGTCACCCCTGGGAGAAAAGGGTAGTTCAGCTCAGCCAGATGGGTGGAGCGGTTTGGTCTATGGCCACCATCGCTGCACTGAGGATGCTGGTAGAGGGCCAGGATAGAGTGGAGGCATCTATTGGCAAACAAACTCTTTCATTTTCCTAAGTTTTCCCGCAAAAGGCCAACTGTTCTATGTTTGTATTGTGTTCATTTGCAGGGTTTGGGATTTCTCCAGGGTAATAAAGGCACTTATTGTATTGTTTCATTGTTTGTGCTCCATTAATTCAACCGTAAAGACTTTATCTCTTTTGTATATGAAAACAATAAATTCAACCATCACCGTTGATTATCTGTGCAAAGGTCACATCAGAGGCTCGTTCCACCGGCACCCCCACCTAGGCACCCCCCCCCTCCCCCCCCCTCCATTGTATAATTATATATTCTAATGCCTGCCCCGGATGACATATACATAATTGTTACTTTGCCGCCATTTGCATATTAATTGCCGTGTATGTTTTAGTATTCATTAGGCGGTTGATCATCAGATTCCGCGATTATCTTTTAAATTCACTTGATACTTGTAATGACGCTTATCCGTTTAGTGATAATGTTGATCAAACCTGAGAATAATTTGTGTGTGAGGAGGCGGGTGGGGGTGGGGGGGGGTTGGGTGACAACGTGAGAATAGAAGAGGCCATTAGCCTTCGGCACCTTTTTACGGGCTTTGCGTCAGGTTTCTGAGACGTGTAGCGAGAGCGAGCCCTGGGCAGGAAGTGACTGGCGACGCCAATGGAATGATAATGTTTTCTCGTCTAAGGCATTCGGAATGTCGCGGGATCGCTATGATGGCATAAAAGCACCAAACCGCGCTAGGTACGAACGGTAAACATGGCAATTTCGCATAATAGGCGGGTAATTATGCCATTTACGCTCTATTATTATTCATCATTCTAATTGTAGGATTGGGCTGCGCCTTTCACCTTCACTGCAATTTAAAGTGAGGACTTATCATTGCCTTATTAGAGGAGTTGTCTTCTAAACAGCATTCTAGGTGACAACGTGTTGGCCCTGAGACAGCGAACTGCAACAGATGTCCATCCAGTCTCTAAAATATTATCTAAGCTCTACTATGATAAAGTAAGTCATTTTCAGTCTTTTAACCACTTCCAGTCCAGACACTTTCCCCCCCCTTCCAGTCGGGACGCTTTCTCCCCCCCCTCCAGTCCGGACACTTTCACCCCCTTCCAGTCCAGACACTTTCCCCCCCCCTTCCAGTCCAGACACTTTCCCCCCCTTCCAGTCGGGACGCTTTCCCCCCCCTCCAGTCCGGACACTTTCCCCCCCTTCCAGTCCGGACACTTCCCCCCCTTCCAGTCCGGACACTTTCACCCCCTTCCAGTCCGGACACTTTTCCCCCCCTTCCAGTCCGGACACTTCCCCCCCTTCCAGTCGGGACGCTTTCCCCCCCCCCCTCCAGTCCGGACACTTTCCCTCCCCCCCTTCCAGTCCGGACACTTCCCCCCCTTCCAGTCCGGACACTTTCACCCCCCTTCCAGTCCGGACACTTTCCCCCCCTTCCAGTCCGGACACTTCCCCCCCTTCCAGTCCGGACACTTTCACCCCCTTCCAGTCCGCACACTTTCACCCCCCTTCCAGTCCAGACACTTTCCCCCCTTACAGTCCCGACGCTTTCCCCCCCTTCCTGTCCGGACGCTTTCACCCCTTCCAGTCCGGACGCTTTCCCCCCCTTCCAGTCCGGACACTTTCCCCCCCTTCCTGTCCGGACGCTTTCCCCCACCTTCCAGTCCGGACACTTTCACCCCCTTCCAGTCCAGACGCTTTCACCCCCTTCCAGTCCGGACGCTTTCACCCCCTTCCAGTCCGGACGCTTTCCCCCCACCTTCCATTTCGGACGCTTTCCCCCCCTTCCAGTCCGGACTCTTTCCCCCCCTTCCAGTCTGGACGCTTTCACCCCCTTCCAGTCCGGACGCTTTCCCCCCCTTCCTGTCCGGACACTTTTTCCCCCCCTTCCAGTCCGGACGCTTTCCCCCCCCTTCCTGTCCGGACACTTTCCCCCCTTCCAGTCCAGACACTTTCCCCCCCTTCCAGTCCAGACGCTTTCCCCCCCTTCCAGTCCGGACGCTTTCCCCCCCTTCCAGTCCAGATTCTTTCCCCCCCTTCCAGTCCAGATTCTTTCCCCCCCTTCCAGTTCGGACGCTTTCACCCCCTTCCAGTCCGGACCCTTCCCCCCTTCCAGTCCGGACACTTTCCACCCCTTCCAGTCCGGACACTTTCCCCCCCCTTCCAGTCCGGACACATTCCCCCCTTCCAGTCCGGACACTTTCTCCCCCTTCCTGTCTGGACGCTTTCCCCCCCCTTTTCCACCACTTCCAGTCCAGACACTTTCACCCCCTTCCAGTCCGGACATTTCCCCCCCTTCCTGCCCAGGCCAATTTTCAGCTTTCAGCGCTATCACACTTTGAATGACAATTGCGCGGTCATGCAACACTTCTCCCCATATGACATTTTTTAGCACTTTTTAGAGACAGATAATACTTTATTTTGTTGGTATTTATTCACCACTGGGGATTTTTTTTTTGCTATATAAATGAAAAAGTCCAAACATTTTTAAAAAGTGTTTTTCTTATAAAATTTAGCAAATAAACAATATTTCTTCATAAATCTTGACCAAAATGTATTTATCTATCTTTTTAGTAATAAATAAAATAACCCAAATTAGTTCATAACCAAAAATTATAATTTAAAAAAAAAATTTAAATTTGTTTTTTTTTTATATTATTATTTATGTTTTTTTTTTTTTTTTTAACATACTGTCACCCTAGCAGTACAGTATCACCATGGTAACACTGTACTACTTGTGGGGGTGATAAAGATTTTTTTTTCTTTTTTTACACTGATTGCTTTTACACCCATAAAGGCTGTAAAAGCAATCATTTCTCCTTCTCTCTGGCTGCATTCTTGCAGCCATTGAGAAATACTGTGTGAGCTGTGATTGGTCACAGCTTGTCACATGGTACAAGGCTGTTGTGAATAGCCCTGTACCATGTGACCTCGGTGATCATTCACAGATTTCACACGTAGTAAGCAATGATGTCAGGAAGTGACATCTTGTTTACTACTGTTCATTTGATCACTGATTGGCTAATCAGTAATCACAATAATTGGAACCTCACACAGAGGTCTCGTGCAACGATCGGTGTTCCTCCGGACACAGTGGGCACCGCTCGCGGTGCCACGCGCTCCCAGGGAGTGCGCACAGGCAATGGATGCGGGGGGGACATTTAGAAACGTCCACTTGCCTCAGCAACACTCCCTTCCAGCCGTTTATCTACATGGGCCAGGGGGTTAAGATCTGCAGCATTTACTAACCTAATACCTAATAATCTTGCCTAGAAATTATTTGTTCAGGCACTTTCTGCTATGGGGTGACAACACTGTCCCCGTCTAGCAGTTGCTTTGTGGGGGTTGTCACCCTGTCTTGCAGGCTTCAGAAAGAGACTATAAGCGGTTAGAATTCTTAGAACAAAAGTTTGAATTCTGAGATTTAAAGTCAGTATTTAAACTTGGGGCCATCCTAAAATTTGTTAAACAAAAATCTGAGTTGTAAACACACAATTCTGTTAATTAAAGTCAGAACTCTGAGATTCAAAGCAAAAATTCTGGGTTTGAAAGTCAGTATTCTGAGAAAAAAACACGGGACCAACCTAAAGTTTGTTAAACAAAATTCTTAGATTCAAAGTCGGAATTTTGAGATTCAAAGTCAGAATTCTGAGATTCAAAGTCAGAATTCTGAGTTTCAAAGTTGGATTTATGAGAACAAAAGTCAGAATCCCAAGTTTTAAAGTTGGAATTCTGAAATTAAATGTCAGAATACTAAATTTCAAAGCAAGAATTCTGAGATTAAAACTTGGGGCCATCCTAAAATATGTTAAACAAAATTCTGAGTTTCAAAATAAAAATTCTGAGTTTGAAAGTCAGTATTCTGAGAATGAAACATGGGGCCAACCTAAAGTTTGTTAAACAAAATTCTTAGGTTCAAAGTATTAATTTTGAGATTCAAAGTCAGAATTCTGAGTTTCAAAGTTGGAATTCTGAGATTAAATGTCAGAATACAGAGTTTCAAAGTCAGAAATTCTGAGATTAAAACTTGGGGCCATCCTAAAATTTGTTAAATAAAAATCGGAGTTTCAAAGTCAGAATTCTGAGATTTAAAGTTAGAATTCAAAGATTCAAAATCAGAATTCTGAGTGTCAAATTTGGATATCTGAGATTAAAAGTCAGAATTCTGAAATGAAAACTTGAGGCCATCCTGAAATTTGTACGACAAAGATGTCAAAGTCAGAGTTCAGGGATTTAAAATCAGAATTCTGAGTTTGAAAGTCAGAATTTTGAGTTTGAAAGTCAGAATTCTGAGATAAACACTTGGGGCCATCCTAAAATGTGTTATGCAAAATTCTGAGTGAGATTTAAAGTCAGAATGCTGAGTTTCAAGGTCAATTTTAACATATATATTTTTACATATATTTGGAAATGCATTCCAAAAATGTAGATTAAATGGATTTATAAGGACATACAGTATATTTGAAAATTTATTTTTAAATTTTTTCTTTCATATATTTTTTAATAAAAAGGCATTTCAACATACTATATGTGTATATATATATATATATATATATATATATATATTTATTTATTTATTGAAATATATTTTGAAAATATATTGAATACGCCAAAACTGTAGTATTTCAAATATATATGTCAATATATTTGTGAAGAATATTTTTCAAATATATTTAAAATATATTTTTCTTCCATGTGGGCGGCTTCATATCCATTAACCAAAAAAAAAGCAAACATTCTCTGCAGAATAAAAAATAATGACGTCACATGTAAATTATTCCAGGAAATTTACAATCCTTTACTTTCCTCAGTTTTTTTTTTTTCCACGGTAAGAATGCACCTCTGTAAGACGGCGAGCCATCCACGTTCCATAATGAAGAACTAATGACCGGACCAGTTGGAAAAATGGCTTTATCTGAGGCTAATAAACCCAATTCGGGGTATTTATATCGGTGAATAATGAAAATCCTCCAACAGCAGTAATTAAGTCACTAAACGAATTCAATTTAGCTACATTAATAGGGAAATATGACTCGGGCTGTGTGATAGCGGGAGGATTTACGATAATTGACCCCCCCCCCTCCATTTTTTTTTTTCTTGGAATGATGTGTGAAAGTCATACCAATTAAAGCAGAGCTCGGAGCGGAGCGCGCCGAACCTGTAACAATCTCCACATCCAAAGGAAAACGCAGGACGAATTTATCTCGTTTATGTCAGGGTCATAAAATGCTGAATTGCTAAACAGCTCATTATAATATCGCAGCAACATGTTAAATAGCTGGAGTTCGCAATAAACAATGGCAAAATCACTTCCCTTTTTTTTTTTTCAGACTTTGAATCTTTTGCAAATAATTTGTACTGTCCCGGGGGAACCGAGCTAAAAAAACCCAAAGAGTCCAGAAGTGACCCTGTTTTCCTCTTTCTTGCTCCATATTTGTACCCGAGCCCCTCTGCACCGTATTTATTACAGGTTGGATGCATTTCTGTAAAGGACTATTTAACTATTTTTTACTTTGTGGTCCCCCCTTACAAAAATTTTAAAAATTTAATTATTTTTTGTACCTTTGGGTGGTTTTTTTTTGTGCTGCACCCAGGGCTGCTGCTAGAAACCACAGGGCCCTATACAGCTAACCTGATACCCCCCCAAAAAAAACAACAAAAAAAAACAGCTTGCTAAGCTTCAGTTATGAATGAACACAGTGAGAGATTGGTACTGATCACTCATTGTGTTCATTCAGGAAAGGAAGGGCTGGTAAATGTGACATATTTAGAGGACCTGTCCCCCGCTCTCCATCCTGAAGGATCCTATTGTGTGCTGGTGGGAAGGAGAGGAGGGGAGCCGGCAGCACTGTGGGGGGTCTGGGCAGCAGGGGGAAACGTATGGAGCACAGGGAGGGTGAAGGGTGCAGCGGGGGGCAAATACTGGAATAAGGGGTACCACCAGTCCTCCTGCATGGGGCCCAGGCAGCTAGGCAAATCGAATGTGGGCAGGGAGGGTGATTGGCGCTGTGGGGGTGGGGTTGGAGGGGCAGTTACTGGAACCAACCACCGGTATGGCTCTCTCTGCAGCAGCTGAAAGCCAGCAGGAGGGAGAGGAGAAGAAGCCGGCTTTCAGCTGCTGCAGGGGGAGCCATACAGGGGATCAGTTCCAGTAATTGCCCTCCTCCTCACTTCGCCAATCACCCTCCCTGCCCACATTCGATTCGCCTAGCTGCCTGGGCCCCATGCAGGAGGACTGGTGGTACCCCCTTTTTCCAGTAATTGCCCCCCACCCCCACAGCGCCAGTCACCCTCCCTGCCCACATTCGATTGGCCTAGCTGCCTGAACCCCATGCAGGAGAACTGGTGGCACCCCCTTATTCCAGTAATTGCCCCCCACTGCGCCAATCACCGTCCCTGCCCACATTCGATTTGCCTAGCTGCCTGGGCCCCTTTGCTGGCCTGGGCCCTGTACAGGAGGGCTGGTGGTACCCCCTTATCCAAGGCCCTGTCTGCACCCCTAGCTTTTCCACCTTCCCCTGCCTTCTGGAATTGCTACATCACGAATGCCTCAGGCAGGTAGAATCCGGAGGTGTGCATGCGCAGAAAGCCCCCGCGAGCATGAGCAGATGCACCACCAATACATGTAAATTAATTGGTTTACGTGAAAGTTATAGCGTCTACAAATGGCGGTATAGATACTGGGATTTTTTTTTGTTACTAGTAATGGTGGCGATCAGCGACTTATAGAGGGACTGCGGCGGTCATTCTAGCACTGGGGGGGGGAGGGGACTGACTTGGTGTCACTGACATCCCCAGTGACACCAATACAGTGATCAGTGCTAATAAAAAGCACTGACACTGTACTAATGGCACTGCGCAGGAAGGGGTTAATGTGAGGGGAGATCAAAGGGTTAACTGTGTGCTGGGAGTGTTTTACTAGGGGACGGGGTCTGTGTGCTTCACTGT